TCATAATCTTTTGAGTCAGCTTTGTCAAATTTTCAAGCATAGGAAAAATATATACAGTATTCTTTGTCGATGAATACTATTAATGTATTGGCTTATTGTATGTGTGTTCCTTTTCTTCAGATCCCATGAGCATCGAAACAAAGTATTATCACCTCAGTTGCTGCTCGTCATTCTTCAGAATGCTGGACCTGTCTTCCAGACGAACGAAATGTTCACCACGGCGATTTGGCAGTATCTCTGTGTTGCATTATCAAGAAATGGAGTTTCCACTGTTACCAAAGTCTTCGAGCTGTCGTTAGCCATATTTCTGGTTCTCATTCACAAGTTCAAAGTTCATTTGAAGGCACAGATTGAAGTAAATATCAATTTCTTCGTGTCAAATATTCGCACGCTGACAATCGTTCAAACTTCCAGGTCTTTTTTCGTGATATTCTGTTGAATGTCCTGGAGTTTTCAACCAGTACGTTCGAGCATAAATGGATGGTGATACAGGCCTTGACGCGGATTTGCTCTGACTCTCAGTGCATGGTGGACATCTACGTGAACTATGATAGTGATTTGAGTTCTGCGAATATTTTTGAGCGACTAGTCATTGTTTTGTGCAAGATTGCGCAAGGAAGGATGGCTTTGGAACTCGGCGCGACTCCGTCCCAAGAGCAAACGATCCGTGTGAAAGGTTTGCTATGTCTTGTTTCCCTTCTCCGGGGAATGGTGGAATGGTGCAAAGATCAATATGCTGCAGCACCGCAGATGCAATCAAGTTTTGGTGAGATTCCTTTCCTTTGTTGAAGTATAGTAATTTTTACTAGGAATGGAAACGTTTTATTGATTCTGTCACAATTAAGAAAATTGCTTTGACTAGCAGCGATATTTCTGTATGGCTTAGAAACTTTTTCCTCGGTTAAATAATTCAGGATTGCTGGAACGAGATTTGCATTCCAACCATGGTTTCTTCAATAAATGAACCGTAATTTGTAGACGTCTCGTTTTGTGTAAGCGTCACTGATCTGAGAAAATTTTCATTTATCTTTACAGCTGGTGATTTGCAAGGAAATACTGCAGTGAAAGAAAATGGCGTTGATAAAATTGACAGTCAAACGGGGCCTTCATCACTCCACTTTCGTCCAATTACGGTTATTTGCAGAGTTCGGGAATGAACCCGAGTCCACCCGTGCAGCATTCAAAGTCAAGTGCATTAGATCCGCAGCATGTTGAAGTTCTGAAGCAGCAAAAGGCCGTTTGGGAAGAATGAATTGATTTGTAAGTCCCAAAAATAATATCTGTTCACATCCAACCCATTTACCTGCATTTTTTCGAATTTTTGTCCTCAGGTTTAACCGAAAGCCCAAGAAAGGAATTGCATTCTTGCAGGAGAAAGAACTAGTGGGGAAAACCCCGGACGCTGTGGCATGTTTTTTCATAATGACGATAGGCTGAATAAAACGCTCATGGGGGATTTCTTGGGAGAAGGCGACGACTTTAATAAAGAGGTAATACTTTGTATAATTTGTCTATTCTTTATCATTTTATAGTTTTGGTTTTACTTCAATTGTAAGTTATGTATGCATACATCGATCAAATGGATTTTACCGAAAAGGAATTTGTGGTCGCCCTTCGTCAATTTTTGGAAGGATTTTGTCTTCCCGGCAAAGCTCAGAAAATCGATCGATTGATGGAGAAATTTGCGTCACGTTACTGTGACTGCAATGCAAAGTGAGTTTATGTTGATCTTCGTCAGGTAAATGAGTAAATGAACTGTATGGCAGAAATGAGTGAGCCCCAACTATTAAATTATAATTATAAGGTGTTTTTCAACTAATCTAGCCAGGGGTTGTTTGCAAGTGCTGACACAGCGTATGTGTTGGCGTATCCAATCATTATGTTGACGACGGATCTGCATTCACCTCGCGTGAAGAACAAAATGACCAAGGAGCAATACATCAAGATGAATCGTGGGATCAACGACAGCAAAGATTTACCGGAGGAATACCTGTCGAAAATTTATGACAAAATTTTCAGCAATGAGATCAAGATGAAATCCTCTGGTTGACCAGAAAGACAAAGTAAGCTCCTAATTATTACTTTTTTTATTCAGTTCTTCGTCCATATTGAAAATGTTACCTCATTTTGAAGAAAAAAAAGACTTGGAATTTGTCAGAACTTAGTTGGGCTTTTTTTTTTGATGGGAAAGGATAATCTTTACTAATGATTGATCTGAAGTTGAAGTGCATGAGGGTCAATTTTTCGCAGTGTTTGGCATGCAATGTTCGCGATAAATTGTCATCAATTCAATCTTTGAACTGACATCTAATTTTTTCTTCTTCTTATTTTAGTTGTAACAAATGAAAAAAAGGGCCGACTTGTGTACAACATGGAGCTAGAACAAATCTCTGAGACTGCTCAAGCCTTGATGCAAGCAGCGTCGCATGTTGACACCCTGTTCTTTGAAGCTGTCCATTTGGAGCATGTTTGACTTATGTTCTGGGTGAGTTGCCATAGATTTTGATTTGTTTCAACGTTTAAAATTCCCACGTATCATTGTCTTTCAATGCCCGCTTTGTCATGTTGATGAAGGTGGCTTGGGCATCGTTATTGGCTGCGTTCAGTGTTGATCTTCAAGATTGTGATGATGCTGATGTTGCGACATTGTGCCTGCAAGGAGTTGGATGCGCGTTTCGTATTGCGTGTATTTTTCGAATGGAGGTGAGTCACGTCCTGTGTGTATTCTCCACAAATCCATAGTACTTTTTGAGTAATAGTTGCTGAGATTATTTTGCATCATCCTGAACACGAAATCGGTTTTAATGCGTGATTAAATTCGATGAGAAATTTGGGGGAAATTTTTAAAATGTCAAATCCCTCAAGATGAGCTTTTGCATGTCGCAATGAGTCTGCCTTCCTCAGAAATTACCTCACCACAATTATTTCTCTGTGAAACTTGTTTTTCATATACATATTTATTATTTCATCACGTTTTTGCGTGTGAAGAACTCTTTTTATGCACTCTTGATTACAAACTCAACTTATTCACGATTTTTATTTTTCAAAAAAAAAGGAAGATAAATAATGTTGCATATTTTTTAGGTCCCCAACCGTTTGAGACATGGTTGTAAGATGTATCGCGCAGATGGTGAATTCGCAGGCAGAAGCTTTCCTCCCATTTTTTTCTAAAAAAAAAAAAAAAAAAAAGTCAGCGACTTGTTTAGCATCCAAACCAAGTTCGTAGTTAGTTTTCCATGCCAAAATTAATAATGTCTCATGTCAGTCAGCAGTGAGTTACTAATAGTGCAGGACGTTTCGATCAAACACCTAAAACCGGCTTTTGTGATTTTAAAAATGCTTCCTTGGGCGTTCATGTATTGAGAATGACGAAGTCCTAGCAGTGTGACATGCACATGAACGCCCAATGGAAGCGTTTAATGCACTCATGAATGCCAGTTTTGTGCGTTTGTTGGTGTTCAACGCCAGTTTTGTGCGTTTGTTGGTGTTCAACGCCAGTTTTGTGCGTTCGTTGGGGTGTTCAACGCAGGCGCTTCCATCAAAAGAAATGTTGAGCGTTTGTTTATTGAAAATGCTCAATTTGTGTATCAAATAATATGTTGTTAATACAACATTCTTAGGACCACCAAAGAAGTGTGTTATACAGTACTGATTAAATTGGTATGAAATTTTCAAAAATGAGGAGTGGAACATTTTTTCACAGCAGACCAAAAAAAATGTGAATCAATTTTGAAAAAAAAATTGTAACTATGGAACTATGAAATTTGGCTCATTGTAAATTCCAATGGAATATTTACAGTTTTGGCATCAAATTGTAATTATTTACTGTAGAACTTCTGCCCAAGAAACATAATTAATGACCACTATGCTGCATATGTCATAAAATGATAGTCAGTACTGTATAACACTCTTTTTGGTGGTCTTATGAATGATGTTAGAGCAATATATTATTTTATATAAAAATTGAGCATTCTCAATGCATGAATGCCCAACGTTTATTTTGATGGAAGTGCCTCACTTGAACACTCACGCAAATGCCCAAAAGTGGCGTTCATGATTTAAAAAATGCTCCCATTGGGCATTTATGTGTAGGTGACCCTGCAATGACTTGGTCATTCTCAACACCTGAATGCCCAGCATTTATACTACTTGCAATTAGTGAAAAAAATTTGTCATCAGGGTGAAGCCTCAGGAATACAGTAGATAATTTTAAAAATTATTTTCAAAATTAATCCATTACATAGTTTCTTGTCAATTAATTTCCCACTCCTCAACTTTGAAAATTTCATAACAAATGAGTCAGTACTACAAACTTTTTCAGTATTCCTAAGAATTTTGTTGTAACAACATATTATTTGATACTTAAATTGGGCATTTTCAATAAGCAAACGCCCAACATTCCTTCTGATGGAAGCGCCTGCGTTGAACACACCAACGCACAAAACTGGCCTTGAACACACCAACAAAGACACAAAACTGGCGTTCATGAGTGTATTAAAAGCTCCCATTGGGCGTTCATGTGCATGTGACCCTGCTAAGACTTGGTCATTCTCAATACATGAATGTCCAACATTTCTATTACCTGCTATCAGTGAAAAAAATTTGTCACCAGGGTGAAGCCTCAGGAAACTGTGCTTACAGTGGTCATTAACTAATTTTTTTGAACAGCTGGGCTGCATTAAATAATTAGAATTTGATGCAGACACTGAAAATAGTTCATCAGAATTTATGATGAGCCAATATTTTCTAGATCCATAATTTTTGCAAATGTGTTTCAAAAGTGAATATGTACTGTACAAAAAGGAAAGCTTCCTGTTTTCAGCAATAAAATCATTTCTTTCTACAGTTACAGAATTGCTTTGAAACACACTTGAAGACAATCATTGGACAATACATGGACTGCAAAGGACACTTTGTGGACAAGGAGTATCCATCCTTTCAATCATTGCATATTGGTGTTTACCTGCAGCGTTTGAAACTGGAGAATGGGAGCATATTTGCAACAAGGGAATCATTTGAAAGTGTGTCAAAAACTGTTGTTGATGAATAGTGTTGGGGGGGGGAGGGTGGTTGCTTGTGTGTGAACATGAAATTTTTTCCTGAAATGTTATACAGTTGTACAACTGTTTTGAGCTTGAATTGAATAACATGCAAATACTTTTTTGAATTATGCATTCTTATTTCCTCTTGATTCTTGTTGAGAATTAACAACAATGAACACTGATAACTTCCAAGAAAGACAGGAAAACCTGAAGTGTAGGCAAAATGAAAGAAAATTATAAACATACTGCACATGCATACATACATTACAAAGAAAAAGATCATCATTGAAGATGAGTCCCTATCTGGCTCAGAATTTACTGACACACTCTGGGGAGGAATTGGCAAATCTTACATTTCTTGCTTCAGCCATTTTTATTGTCTGTGAATTCATTATAATCAAGAGTTGCAGCATCATCTTGCTTCTAGAGCCATTCATCTTGCTTCTGGAACCATTCTTGATCATCATGCTCCAATGCAGTTCCAAATCAAGTGCTTATTTTGTTGGGGTTGTGGTCCATGTTCTGTAAATATTATCTAAGTAATTTTTATTAATAATGGAATGTCACAATCAGGTTTTCATGTTGTTATGAATGCCCAAGTCAGGTGTTTTGAATTTCAAAAAGTACAAGACATTTGGCATTGATGTTATTAAAAACTCCCAAGTTTGGTATTCTGCAATAAACAACCCTGCACAACTTGGAAATGCTAGGAAAAATGAACTCTCCCAACCATCTTGGCTTATTAAAAAAAAACGTCAGGCACAAAATGAACACAATAGTCAGGCTTTCATGTTCTCATGAGCGCACAAGTCAAGCTTTCATGTTTTGAACACCTGACTTGGGTGTTCATGAGAAAATAAATGAAAGCCTGACTTGTGCGTACATGAAAGCCTGACTTGTGCGTTCATGAAAACATGAAAGCCTGACTTGTGTGTTCATGAAAACATGAAAGCCTGACTTGTGTGTTCATGAAAACATGAAAGCCTGACTATTGTGTTCATTTTGTGCCTGATGTGTTTTTTTTAATAAGCCAAGCTGGTTGGGAGAGTTCATTTTTCCTAGCATTTCCAAGTTGTGCAGGGTTGTTTATTGCAGAATACCAAACTTGGGAGTTTTTAAAAACATCAATGCCAAATGTCTTGTACTTTTTGAAATTCAGAAAATTATTTCCTCCAACTAGCATGGCTTATGTAAAAATAAGCACATTAGGCACAAATAATGTGTTTTCTATTTTTTGATGTAAGATCAATTGGTTACATAATGCATCCTGAAATTTACCAAATTATGAGAAGTTCACTAACTTTTGAAGCATATATCACATCTCTGTCGTCTTCATCACCACAACAAATGTTTATGCTTGTCAATCAATTAATATATCACCAGAATGCATCATTTTGTAAAAAAAAATCAACTCTGAAAGAAAACTGCAAATAAGTAAAATACTGTACTTTGCTTGATGGAAAACACTTATAAAAAGAATAAACTGAACAAGGTTTCACAATAAGAGACAAAATATCAAGGGAAGTCAGTCCACCCACCCTGCTTGATCGAGTGTCTGAGGGGTTCATCCCCCCATAAGATTTGTTCAGGCAGGATGGACTCTAGAGTCCACCCTGCCTTTAGGCAGGATGGACTCTAGAGTACACCCTGCCTAGGCAGGGTGTACTCTAGAGTCCAAAACGAGGGTAGAGTACGCCCTGCCTGCCACACCGGGGGGCGAGACGAAAGGATGGCATTCTGTTAAGAGCTCTTGACCCTGAACATTGTGTTCTTCTTATCTTTGACCTACCATTGAATAAGTTTTGTGTGTGCCGAGGAATATATGACGTGTAACCTAGGAGCATGGTGTTGAAGTCTCTCCGTCCCTCTCAAAACCTTATTGCGGGCTCAAAGTCACACCTCTACAGTGTGCAACCTACGCTACATGCCGGCACCACAGTTTGATGATGCCTTGCAATACCAAAAATTCAAGGCAAGCCGCGGCTTCTGCTCTCGTGGACCTCGCCATGATCGCCGAAGAGGACAAGGAGTTCCAGGACACCGACGCACCTCCCAAGGAGGAACGGTCGCCATCCCGCGCTTCTTCTCAGTCAAGCGTGTGGGAGTCCTTACCCTTATCCACCCTTTGGATGCTTGCCGACAAATTTCATCTTGGGCACCCGCCCACCGCAGCTAAGTCCAATTATGCAGTGCAGTTGGAACGCTTTCAAATCCCGATTACGGCTCTCCAAACTCTCTCAAGAAGCACCAAACGGGCAATCGTCCCACGTCGGACCAGCTTTGATGACGAGCAGTTGGACCCACCGACAACCATACCCACCCGACGACCTCAGTGGATCACCAATCTGCAGATGCCGACCCTCCCAAAGCAATGCACGACCAAGGAGTTTGAAGATTTTGCTACGCGCCTGCGGAACATGCTAGCAGCGGGATGGGTGACGGACAAGCATCGCCTGTACTGCCTGCTTGACAACACGCTACCGCACATCCAAGCAACAGGTTGTACAAGCGGGGGATTGTGGATTTCAAGCCGCTGGTCGCGGTAATTGCCCTACGCCATCCCACACTGCACCTCGACCAC